ATCTATCATTTAGCTGTTGCTGCCATAATGCATACAGTGCCAGCAGCAGTAGGGCCCTGTAAGCAGGACTTTGCTTACATGTGTACAGCTCTACTCTGAAAGTGATTTGGTGGCTGTAAAGCTGCCAGATCACTTCCACGAGCTGATGAAGGTACCCCCTGCTGGACTACCTCCACAATATATCTTAGACTCCTGTGGACCCGGGACCCACATGGTGGGAGTTGGCAGGTGAGGAGAGGGCGATCAGCAAACATCCATTCACTGATCATCCCTGTATTAAATTAAGCTGGAAAGTGACAAGCTTTTCATCACTTCGAGTTTCAGAGCTGTCATTCCGGGGATGAAGCTAATCAAGCACGATCTCTAACAGACCCCAAATGTCTCAATAAAGAGAACCTGCCACCACTAATGTGCTATCACATAGGGAGGCAGTGCTTCTGTATTGTCACCCTGTCACGCAGGATTCTGATGGTGACTACAACTGCCATTTTAACACACAATATGCAGACATGGCGCACTGTTGCCACCATCAGGAAACCCTGAATGCGCGATTGCATAGTAAGGTGCGTTAATCACTGGAGTGGATCCTCAGCCTGGGGTTCAGTGTTGGCTGCTGTGCTGTGATGGAGCTCCATCCATATGTGCATTGCTTGTACAGCTCCCTTGTGTGCCCTGTAGAGGTGGCGGGAGCCAAAATGTTACATCACTCCAGTCCATGCACCTCTGCAGGGCAGACAAGGGAGCTGTAATCAATGCACGTATGGATGGAGCTCCCTTGTGGCAATAGCCCCATCCCACCGTGCAGCATATTTTGAATGGCTGCTTCGTGAGAGACAGTGCTAGGGGGAGGCCGAGGAGCCTCTCACCTAGTGCAGTGAAAGGCATGCGGTGACCCACTAAACACAGGGTCGCGACCCACTTTTGGGTCACGACCCACCAGTTGAGAACCAAGGCTCTACAGAAATCAACATCCCTTAGAAATGGCTTACCCAAGGTCCAGATAGCAAGATAAATAACATTTAACTAGCTGCTAGCATTATTCCATCGTGATGCTCCTTTGCTTCCCAAACCAACAGTAGGTCAATGTGTCACTGCTCTCCGGCTAGCTACTGCATTTCAGCAGACTTTGGGGCATTGATGGAACCACTTCCACTAGGAAAACTAAAAGCTGAATCTCAGTAACTTTATTGCTGGTGAACGGTGTCTGGCAGAATCATCCATCTGATATGGCCACGATAACTGCAGCGTAAACATTCTCCAGAAAATAAAATGCTTGTTTATAGTAATGCAGTAGATTTTCATCTCAAAGGGTATTTGCATTTATTTGCTGACAGCTATTTGCATCTCCTGATCACTGTGCATACAGTTCAGTTTATCAAGCACGCACTGGTGTCCATTCATTTCATGGAAAGATGTTTGTGTTTGTCTGAAAAACAGCAGTTTTATTCTGCCATTCTCCAGGGAAGTGATTATTTTACAGAAATGCTGTATAAAGGATTTGGCTTCTTGAGAAGCAGCATCCTGCTGGAGCTGCACCACTCATCAGAGGAGAAGATATTGCTGAAAACAGGTAACTTCCCGCTGTCACTAGCTTCATTCAGCAGTTAAAAGACTCCTCTACTAAACACTGTTTGTATTTAAAGGGAATGTATCATTTTGCAGTAAAAGCTCCTAATCATCCTGTCAAGTTCTGGTAACCCCACAGGAAGTATCTCCCCAATCGGTAGATGAGCCGCAATAAAACTGACAGCACATTTAATCCTTGCCTATTCAAGGGGTTTTATTGATGGACAGGAAGTAAGGAAAATTCTAATGTTGTTCCCCATGGTCCCTGTGTGTGTGTTGTAAAGTAGTCACCGCTCCAAGCTCACTCCTGTGATGGACTACAATCTCAAAACAAATTGGTAAACTAAACATGAGATTGTAGTCCATCACAGGAGTGAGCTTGGAGCGGTGACTACTTTACAACACACACACAGGGACCATGGGGAACAAAAGTAGTCACCCTCCAGAAGGAAGGACAGTGTCAGCACCAATTCAGAGAGGATTTGAGGATCTACAGCTGACTGATACACAAATAAGATACATCTTTGGTAATAGTTAAGGTACTTGAATGTATTTTTAAGATGTAACTCCTGAGTTTAGTGTCACTTTAATGTATTTGGCTGTGCTTCTATGTTCTTGTGCTTCAAAACTGACAAAAAAGGGTGTAGACTCTAAATTATGTCCAGTACCATGTTATACAGCCAATAGAGTAAAACCCTTACATAACCTTCCCACTGGACCTGCTATCCGAGGTTAATGTAAAATTCTAAGAGAGCAAGTCTAGTTATAAAGATTTTGTGTCTACAAGGATGTGACCCCTGAGAGAAGTTCACATGTATTGGGAGATTTTCAATGTATATTATATTACACATGTAGGTGGTATACAGTTCAGAAGAAAGGAGAAGGCATTCTGGCTTAGAATAAGGAAAAAAGAATCCACACATCAATGAACTTGCTGACACGTATGGGAGATTTTCACTGGCACATATTCGAGCCAGGCTAAGGGAATACGCACGCTGAACATTCACTGGCAGCTTTGAAAAGGAATTCCCTTGTGAACTGAAAGCACAGAGGCAGAACAAGGCTTTGCAGACATTGTGGAATTGTATACATCCGTGTTACCATGACATTTTATGTACAGATTTATCCATTTATTGTTCTATCTTGTTTCAGTTACAAATATTTTACATACAAGTACAGAGAGTCTCAAACATTTGTATTACTTGCATACTGTCTTCTTTCGTTTTCTTTTAAGAATATTACTTTCTTGGTTGTCAAGCCGATGCATTGGTTTCCATGATGTCAGAGTCTCTGACCTGAAACAAGTCTAGGAAGAAGGAATTCTGATACTTTTCTGGGTCACTTACATCAGGATGGTTCTGGGTCTACGATATAAAAGTATGGGTGCTAGACACAGCACAACAGGGCAACTAGCATTTTCAAAAGAGGGCCAGCAGCCTTATACTTTTCTTATGACAGAGTCAATTTAAAGTGTATTTCCACTTTTGCAGTCACATTTGAGAAGAACCCTCTATATGTCTGTTTATGTGTTCACATTCACACCTTATACCTAAAAAGAATTACAAAAATATTTCTTACCTTTCATATGTGTGTAGAAGGCCTTTGGAGCGTCTTTGTACAATTTGAATCTGGCTGCCTCCATAGAAAAACTTTGGACGCTTAAGGTCCCCACACACCTTGCGATAATCGTACGATAATCGCGGGAAATTCCGCGATTGTACGATTATCGTAAGGTGTGTGGAAGCCGTGCGACCTCTACTACTGTAAGGTTGCACGACTTTTAACTTACGAACATGTTCGAAAACCCGCCGAGCATCGTACAATGTTCGGCGGGTCTGTAGCATGTTCGTACGATAAAAGCCGGACGGGCCGGTGAGCGCAAGCGCTCACCGCCCGTTCGGCATTGCGATCATCGGAAGCCCGCCCCTCAGGGGGGCGCGGCTTGTGATCATCGCAAGTACGGTCTGCATGTCCAAGATAGGCAGATCGTACGTTTTTTTAAGTACCTTACAACCATTGCAAGACAAAAGTCTTGCGATGGTTGTAAGGTGTGTGCCCAGCCTTAGAGCTTCCTCTCATTAACATACCATGCTTCTAGATCTTTAACCCTTTGTTAGGACAGTGTTCTAATCTAGATTACAACTGATAAGGAGATTTGCCAGTACAGGGTTAATTAGGCTAAACCTTTACTCCTCACCCCCCTTGCATTCCAGAGAAAAATATGGTTTAGAGAAAAGCAGCAATTTGTAAGTATTTTAAACATTTTTTGCTTATCTGTTACAAATATAAAATAAGTATTATCCCAATTTGGCTGCAAATGTGGAAATACATTCTATCTGAGAAAACCCCACTATATGTTTGTTATGGGTCCCCATTCACACAGTATACCTAAAAATAATTAAACTAAAACAATATTTCTTACCTTTAGATGTATCTGTGCAGCCTTTGCAAGCTTCGATCTCGAAGTGACAGGAAACTCTGGCTGTCCTCATAGAAAGACTAGGGACATCATGCGCTTCCTCTTATTAACATACATTTCTAGACCTTTAAAAGGTAATTCCACTTCCCAGGTTAATTTGGGAGAATAGAATTACCCCCACCAATCTGGCCCTCTCTCAACCCCCCCGCTACACATACCATTCGGCGAACACTCCTTCCCCTCCACTGGTGCGGGTGTACTATCTGTACCCTGTACTGCCATCTAGCGCAGCCCTGCACTCTGGATTCTGAATTTTACTCGCAAATGGCGAGCACTCATGGGTCAACACACTCAGGTGACCGCTTCTTAGCAAAAAGTGCTTCTCATTGGTCAGCGCGGTCAGGTGACTGCACTGACCAATGAGTGCTTGCCATTTGCCTGCAAACTTCAGGGCCGCGCTAGACGGCAGTACGGGGTACGGATAGTACACCTGCACCGGTGGAGGGGAAGGAGCGTTTGCCAAAAGTTAAGTATAGAAGTCGAGGAGAGTGGGCAAGATTAGAGTTAGTAATTCCATTTTACCAAATTCACCTAGGAAAGTGGAATTACTCTTTAACCCTTTGATAGGACAGACAGTGTCAGATCTGGACTACAACTGTTAATGAAATCTGCCAGCACAATAAAGACAGGGTGAATTATGTTAACCTGCCCAGCCCACTTTGCATTCCAAAGCAAAACTCAGTACAGAGAACAACTTTTCTTTCAGACTAGAGCATGTATTGTGCAAGAAACACATTTAAAAAATGTGAGTGAGATGTTATAAATAGACTGCAAAAGTGCAAATACACTTTAAGCTGTAGGATGACTTGTACACCCTTCACCCCTTTTACAACCCTGCTCCTGGATTTTACCAGACAAGTGAGTAAAAAAAGTCAAGACACTGGAATATCGGATGTTCTCCCCACCCTGCTGCCATGGCACACTATGGTAAAGGTGATCCTTGATAACACAACCTTGGATCAGTCCACTTCCGCTCTAACGGGGCCTTGCATCTTATCCTCTAACACACTTTGTATTTCTGAAACAATCTGTGAAACGTCCTTCTCCACATTTACTGTCATGAAATGTTCAGGTGCTGCTGGAGGCTCCAGAGTGTCAAACTGTGATGCTAACAATTCCACCGGCATGAAATGTCCTGTCCTCTTCTGAAACCTCTCCGAGATCACTTTCCATGAACCTTGTAAGTGGATGAAGAATAGATCTGGATCCTGGATTTCTTGCTGCTGTCTGTCAGATGTACATGATTGTGCCCCAGTAGCCAGCATTTCCCTGTAGGCTTTCTTCAATGCAGAGCATGCTAACACCACATGCTGACCGCAGGCTTTGTCACTAAGAACAGAATACACAGACATGACCATCACACCCATCCTTTCTATCCTTCTGCTTTTATCAAATCTGGAAAGCTTTTCCTAACTCTGTGTTTAATCTGTGAGAGGTCTTAAAGTAAAACTGTCAAGAGAGGTTCTCCTGGGGGCTGACTTGGAACTTGCAAATCAGGTGTTCCGATATGACTTTCTTTTCATGTCTATGAACTAGAAATGGAACTAGCAACAACAGCCCCTGTGCCTTAAGGTAGGTTTCCTTCAAGTTATTTTTTCTCTTTTTTTTTAGATTGCAATAGAAGAAAGCGTAGAAAGCCAGTGCAGAACACTCTGCGTCCATACTGTTTTTACTTGGTCCAGTTTAGTTTGGTTACAATTAGTTTCACTCATTTGTGTAACCAGTCACAGACATTACAAAGGTCAACATCAGATAAGCATTGAACAGAACAGATTTCAGGTCTTTGCCAAGCTTTTGAAAGTGAACCAAAGGGCCAGACAAGCAATAACTTTCCTTACCTTACTCAAAATTGTATGTGGCAAATGCAGCTCTCCAAGCTGAAGTTTAATCTGCTTAGATTCTCCTCCCCCCATCAACATGCTAATAACATTATGAAATAGAAGCTTTCCATTTTTATTGCATTCCTTATTGTAGATCCAGTGATGTAATCACTGGATTTCTGTGCTGCTCTATGCATTGCATGTATATCATGGCTGGTGGGAGGGGCTGGCAGGGTGCTGTACAAAGCTTTCTGAAAACATCACAGCACCCTGGCTCCTGGGAGGAGTTATGCAAATATCAAGTGCCTTGATGGGTGAATGTCAGTCTAGAGGAGTGGGCATTACTTAGCAGGATGCATTTGTATGCAAACGGCCCTAAGCAACGCCCACGTGTGATGCTCGCCTCTGTGATTGAAATAACTGCTGGACAGGTGGAAGAAGGTGGGCAAGAAAAGAGGTTGCAGAGAGCTGGAGAAAGAAAGCAAGAGAAAGAAAGAAAATGTAAAGAGTCCACAGGAAACAGAACAGCCAGGGGGGTCGGGTAATGCTCCTGTCAAAATGGCATACAGTACATCCAGTCCCATTAAAAATCAGTCTAGGAATGATCTGATATAGGTTGAAGCAGGAAATTATATGCTAACACTCCACGTTTCAACAAGTTTTGAGTATCAGTCTTGTATCTGTGCAACTAGTTTTCCAGTCGCATCAAAAAAGTCACCCCCGATACAAATTCCCAAATAGAGGGGGCTGCCTGCGACCGTCATCTGCCTGGACACCAGAAAACGTAGAACTCCCTTCTTGACTGTAAGTAGGGAACCCAATAAAATGAATAACAGCACTCCCTTAGGGGAAAGGTATAGAGAAGATCCTGTCACATGGGCATATAGGCAAAAAACAGCATCCCAAAAAGGAGTGGATTGCAGAACAGGACCACCAAACGTGAAGCAGGCTTGCTCCCAGTTCGCTGCAACGCCAACTAAGGTCTGGGATGGAGGAGAAAACTTTTGTGTAATGGTGCTGGGCAGTGATACCACTTGTAAATAAGTTTAATTCAGGTTGGAACCTCTTTCAGGTTTTTACCACAAAGTCCCAGCTGAGGAGATTTTTGACATGTCACTAGAACAGGACAGAAGGGGAATCTCCCCAACTGGAGCACAGCAATAAAAACCTAACAGATGTTTTTATCAAGAACCCTTCAAATGCCTAAAGCCGGGGTAGCCAAACTCCATCCCTCTAGCTGTGGTGAAACTACAAATCACATGATGCATCTCTCTCTGGGAGTCATGTCTGTGGCTGTGAGAATCTTGCAATGCCTCATGGGATTTATAGTTCCACCACAGCTGGAGGTCCGGAGTTTGGCTACTCCTGGCTTAAAGCTTAACTCCAACCCAAACATTTTTGTTTTGTGAGCATTAGAAAGAGTTACAACCACTGTCAGGTCACTGCTGTATGTGTCCCCATTGCAGAGATTTCTCCTTGCTGTGATGGGGGGGTCAGAGGTATTGGAATATGGGAACACTCTTCAATGTTGACAAAGGTAGCAACAAAAATCAAATTTTTAGTAGAGTGTGGAAAGGTTAGAACCTCCGCCATGTATTTACTGCTATCGCTGACTTCTTGTCTCCATTCCATCATTTCTTGTCCTAGTGTTACAGGGATTGAAAAAAAAAAAGAAGAAAAAACGTTTTGACAGAGCAGCAGACCTTACAGTGGGTGCATGTACCCTAACTGTAAGCTCATGGCCACTTTAGCAGCCACAAGCCTACAGTCATACTGTGCCTGGGGCTCTCCTTTTCTTATGTGTGGATGTGATCAGCGGCTGTCATGGCCACAAACTTGCTCCCTCACTGGCGCTGCTAGCAGAGGGCTGCTGTCCCTGCAATGAGACCTGCATTCTCTCTTCTTGCTGGCCTCATTGCCAGTTTTTTTTCTTCAGGATGGAGAGCAACATGATCGGTAAATGTGACTTAAATGTTCGCAGATCTATTTGTAAGTGTAATTGAACCTAGAACTTGAATTGAACCTGATTGCTTCCTGGTTCAGCGTCAATCATGTGCCAGTTAGAAGTAGAGGAGTAGATTTAGGACTTGATTTAATTCTTGAACAGAAAGTGGAGACAACAGGGGTCTGTTTAGATCCCTGGTGTCTTCTTAAAGAGAACCAAATAATCACCAAGTACATTTACGAATTGGCAACCTCTCTTACTAGAAGAACACTGTTGTGAGCTCTTTATCATCCCCTCACTATCCCACAGCTAACAGCAGTTCTACCATTGGCTCTGCCTGCTGCAACAATATTGGCCTAATTGATTTGTGACTGATTTTTGCTGGAGATGCATTATAATATCTTTTCTCTCCTAGTAAAAACACTGAGTTATGCTCCAACACTGTACTGGCAGAGCTGAGTAACAAGCATCCTTCTCAGCACAAGCCTCCTGCTAAAGACTTGTACTGCAGAGAAGAGGAGGGAGTGTATCTGACCAGGTCAGAGTATGAAAATGGAGGTTGTCTGTAAGAAGCCTACATGACTCCAATCTATTTCACAGACTTCAATATTTTAGACCGTATTTTGATACCTATACATTGGAAAGTCAAAGTTGCATTCCCTTCCCTAATCTTGTGTGCTCTCTTCTGCTTTAAAACGTCAGCCCCCCCCCAAATAATATTTTATTTATAAAGTGTCTGGCAAGCTGAGTTGCTTCATGGATTTTTAATTCTCTTGGGGAATACACTGACAGGGTCTTCCAGTTATACAGCCTGGCTACATGTCCTCCCACTTTGGGGAGTCTCAAATCTTCTGGTTGTATTTTGCATAATATAAATGACATGAAAAATCCAGAAAGTAGAATGGGCCCACAGTAATAGCTAAATTCATGTGCAGGTCTGGAAAGCCAATTGCAGAGATCTCACCATCAGACTCTCCAAGAGACGTAAGTAACCAATATGTTGTTTAACTCAGCAGCTTATAACAAAAATCGATATCTGCCCCGGGTGTACTAAACCTTTAAAACCTAAATCCATCCATCCAAACAGCCACATTATATATTGATATACCACGCTAATATCACATGGGAAGCTTCCTGTTCTGTAGAGCATTAACACAGAATTACATAAACGAACAATTACATAGCACTGACGAGCGTACAAGTGTTACGCTCGGCCTGAAATGAGCTTTCCTTTATGGTCACTGATTATTTCTTTGTAGAGCATTTGTGCATGAGTGCTTCAATAATCATTCCGACAGTGATCAAAACTAAATATTTAGCCTTTGCGTTATTTCATCACATGAAGGAAACTAGCACAATGAAAAAGCATGATTATTTTATTAAATGAAGTAAGTCTTGTGTTTCACCTTTTACTAAGGCAGCCATCTGCTTTTGCACGGCTTCCTTCAGTTGACCTGATGATAACTGCTTATATCAGATGTACAAGAAGTATGTCTGCAACTAGCATCTGGTAGTTCCCTGTGCCATCCTTTGCCTTATTTTATTACAGATGGTGCTACATGACAGCTTCAATTCAGTTTTCCTCAAAGTAGAACTATTGGAAAAAAATGAAAAATGACAATGACATGCAGCCTGTCACTAGTATTAACAAAGTACTATTTGTTTCTCTGAATCCCTCTGTAACATATACGCTTTATTACCTGTTATCCTGCCAGTACATCCATTATTTTTCCACTAATTGTAACAGGCCGAGGTTTCCAACAAAAAGGGCACTTAAAGAATATCTAATCAAAACTTTTTTTAAAATTTTAGGTAGAGTAAGGGCTGGTTCATACCATGTCCTGATCATGTCAACACCAGAACAGTTTGTTCCTGGACCAAAAAAGCATCCCAATGTATCCCTATGGTATTTCTGGGCTCTGCCCACACCAGCGCAGACCAAACAAAAAAAATACTGCTCTTCTAATTTTCTCTGGTCTGGAATGCACTGGAACGCATCAACAACGCATACAAACGCACTAGAACACACTGGACCGCACCTGAAAGCCCATTTTAAGCTATAAAAAAAAGGTCCGGAACACAGTAAAATCATGGCACAAACGCAGTGCACCACATTCCAGGTCTGCTCCGGGAAATGGGGTGAACCTGGCCTGAGGGAGAGTTAAACCAGTTACAGTTTTTTCTTTGCCATCTGTGCCTAATTAGGGAGATTTCCATTCATTTCCTGTCCTGTAGACTCACCTGGAGGTGAAACAATATTCTTCCAAAGTGAGAGGAAATCCGCTCTTAGACAGTTGTCACAGTAACAAGTTTTCCTATTGGAAGACTCCCTTTCCACTTTTGTTCTGGTGGAAATTGAAACTTTTGGATTTACTCTCAACTAAATTCCTGGTAGCCATGGTGATCAGGACAATTAGAAAGTGTGAATTTCCCTAACAGGGACACAAACAGCAATAAAAACCCTGGCAGTGATTCTAACACTTTCCAGCCTTTAGCTATAGGTTTTATGTAGAAGAAATTCCTGTCTCGACTGCTAAATGGTCAGAGCAGCTATCAATCAACCAGCAGAGGGAATAGACTGCAGAAGAAGCACAGGGAGACCAGCATACTACAGAACTGGGAGCTGATGGTTATCCTATTTAGAAAGGCCTTAGAGAGAGACATCAGAGACTGTCAGAATCAACAGGTATTTATGAAAATTGTCTCACATAAAGATAAGAAACCTTGCACAACTTCATCTACAGAGCGAAAAGGGAACCATTTACACAAATATAGTATTTTCATTTACATACAATTTAAAGTGACATTTTTCCCTCCCCCCCCCATTTTAATGCCAGCACTTACCTTAAATGATGTCTCTTAATCCGATCTTCTTCTTTCCTGATGTTTTCATCTGTCCCTCCAGCGGTGCGGCGGCTCTCCCATCCAGCGCTGACTCCTCTCTGCTTACAGGCACTTCTGATCCAGCGGTCTCTGCAGGCGGGTGCACGCCGTCCATAGACTAACCTTGCGTCTCTGCTCGTCTCCCGGCCGAGAATCCGAACTGCGCATGCGCCCACCCCTAGATCCTTTGCGGCCGCACGAACAGTTCCGGACTCTCGCCGCGGGAGCGCGCAGCAATAATAAGGTCAGTCTAAACCGCTGTTTAAGTGTTTTTTTTTTTACTTTTTGCCTATATCTACTGCTTGTCAGCAGTAGATATAGGCAAAAAAACAGGAGGGTTTAGAACCACTTTAATGGGTAGAAATACATAGAATACCATACTGATTGTGAAATCAGCCAATAAAGTCTTAATTATGCATGCCTTCCCCAGGTCAGTGACTCTAGGTAGTGAAAGCAGCTCTGATACCAGTGCCCAATATCAGCTCCTATAGCCACAGACAGCCACGGACTATAGATAGTAATCAGATTTTAACCAGTAAAGAACAATTTTTTTCTTCCATTAAGATGCACTCTCAGCTTTACCAGATATACATGTTGATAGCTATTGAGGAGAGAGGGGAATGCACATTCTTATCTCCAGCTAAGACGATGGGGGGAATTTATCAAAACTGGAGCAGACAAATGAGCAGCTTCTATGTCTCATTTTCAAATCTTACCTGAGCAAACTGAAGAGAGATGCTGATTGGTTGCCATGGGCAACTGCCCCAGATTTTGTCTGCTCCAGTTTTGATAAATTCCCCCAATATGTTTTATCAGATATTTTTGTAGACGTTTGCTCACCTCAATATCAGATTATGAAGATCACAGAGCCATGGATGTCTATCCTGTGAATGGCAAACAAAAAAACATTCCTGTGGGTTAAAACCTAGCAGGCAGATATACACACAGCCATATCTCCATTTGGCATTATGATCAGTGATCTTAGTATGCTCGTTATAACTGTACCCTCAAATCCACAGCCCAGCTGCCGGGTTAGAGAAAACAATTGTTCCCACAATGGAGTTACAACAAACATGAATGAAAGCAGAATCATTTTCTCCCTTTAGCATTCATTAACTTGCCTTCCCCTGTTCTTTTTTTCTGTGCATGGGAGGTCCCCCCTGTCCTTTTTTTTATGTGCATGGAAGATGTGGATGGTTTGCAGCTTATACTCATAATAGGCAAAATTACGCTATTAAAAAAATTGGAGGGTATCACCTAAACACCACACTTTCCACATTGATCAATGGCTAACATAGTACAACACCCTACTGCTGCATTTGAGGTGCAATCCTCTTCAGTTCAGCCTCATCTGAAAGTGGCCATAGACCCTAAAGTACAGTCAGAAGTGAAGGAATGGTCAAGCTGTTTTTAGTGCTCTGAGTTTGCCAGCGCTTCAGTAAACACAAATGGTTATCTCAGGTGACCATTCATATTTTAACCTATAAAGAGTGACTCCAAGTTGCGCTGAAAACACCTCTGGCATTAGTTTACAACAGTAGCTGGACAAGCTATTCTTACCTGTCTAATCGTGTTGGCCAGTAGTGTTGGTGGGTAGGTCACAGATGTTATATTATCTCCCTTGACCTAACCCAAAATAGTGTCTACACAACTCGAATCACCCAGAGATTCTGAAAGTCATTCATATTCTGCATTCCCACGCCCACTCACCCAATTAGTAAAGGATGTCACCAGGATTTTCCTACTGACTTGACATGTCTGGGACGGCTTTGGCCTACAATTCAGCAGAATAACTTTTTCTGAAGAGATGCCTACAGATAGTTACAAATATTCTCCTGTGACTGCTATCAAAGTCTCAGCTCTTGGGGAGGGAGGTGGAAGATGCCATCTTCCCTACACAGCAGTGACAAAGGGAGTGGAGACAACTGTATATGTATGGGTGTTCCTTGGTAACACTTTGCTTGTAATTCTGCATCTTTTTATTTTCTGATTATATTATTTTCTGATTATACTGGAAGAGTTAAGGTCAGCCATGCTCCTCCAAGGTTGGGGAGACCATTTTGGCATGCAGTTTTCATTAAAAGTAATATCTGGTTTTTGTCATCATGTGCTCAGTATGGTGTTTGCTTTAAGAAGGATATTATTGTATAACCTTATAACTTCTTTTTAAACAGCACAGCTAGAAGCTAAAATTCTGGTGTGGCTATATTATTTATGGAAATTTCTAGGAGAAAGAAGGCAGAGAAGAGGAACAACTGAAGCTTCTCCCAGGAATTGATTTAAGGCCAGTGTACTGCTTACAGACATTTCTTTCCAAGTATTTTTCTTCGGAGAAGAGCGGTACTTGTCAGATATGATAAAGATGAGTGATAGGTTTCCCAGTTCAGTCTAATATGTGCTGGGACCCCCAGGGGAGAAGTCACGATCAGTCAGCATTTATCAGTGCCCAGCTATCACCTCAGCTAACAGTTTAGTCAAGATGTATTGCAGGATGCTGCTGACTTGCTGGCAAAAGGCAGATGACTATGTAGGTGAATGTGCAGCGCAGACACTTAGGTCACTAAAAACTCATTTGGGTAGGAAGACACAATAGAAACATATTGTATAGCAATCACACACGTGTGGAGATTCTTTTTTGGGGGGTCAAGGAATGCTGTCAGGAAGGAGGATATATATTTAGCAAATATGGGGATTGTTACTGCTGATTTTCTTTTGAATGTGCTATATGATTAGCTGCAATGCTGACCAACTGGTTTCAGTGCCTTCTGAGTAATTGGCCTGAACCAAGTTTTTTAGCGTGCCATCAACAAGTGCATGTAACTCTTTATTTGTGTCCTTCAGTTAAATGAAGTAATCATGCAAAAGTTAGGTCTGTATATTAAAAAGAAATGCCTTGTAAGGATGGTTACAAACTTTGCAACAGTGTCTCTGCAAAGGGCTTCCCTGCCCCATATACTCACCGTACCTGCGGCCCCTTGCAGCACCTTGCTCCTGCGCCAGTGCTGATATTGTCTAAGGGCCCATTCACACCAGATGCAGTCCGTTGCGTTTTTGAGCTGCATCAAAAACGCAACACAATGATTTCCTATGGGTTTATGCTGTTCCATTCACACCAGACTTGTCAGTTCCGATGCAGCCAGAAAAAGTACAGCCTGCACTATTTTAGCTGCACAGGAACATGACTGAACGCACGAAAAACGCGGTGAAACGCGGTACAACGCAAAAAAAAAGAGAAAAATTTAAACAGTATGCAATACTCACGAATCCACCGTGGTACACAGAGTACATAAATACCTTTCAATAGACATACGGAGGCATGAAAACAACTTTTCCGGGTGTGCCCTCAAATCATGATGTAAGGTCAAAAATTGCAAGGGGTGCACCCAATAACGACGTCTCCTCCTACGTTGGCTGAGAATGACTGTAGCCAACAATAACACCATGCCTGCAAACAAAGGAAGCATGTCTGCGATAGAAAAGAGGGAAGTGCTGAGACAGGAAGAAGGAAGTGACATATGGTCAGATTTGCATTTTGAGAAAAGAAAACAAAAAACGAATCCAAATGCAGCAAAACGCATCGCAATGGCTAAAACGCATGCATTTTCAATGCAGTTTTGGTGTGAATGAGGTCTTAGGGTCCATTCACACGCCATCCAGATTACCTCCAGACCAGAATGCATCCCAATGTATCCCTAAGCTATTTCTGACTTCTGTTCCCACCAGCGCAGTCCGTTCCAGACCAGACCAGAAAAATACTGCTTGTCTTATTTTGCCTGGTCTGGAATGCACTGGAACACATCAAAAACGCATGGAACGCACTGGAACACACCTGTAAGACCATTTTAAGCTAAAAATAATTGCGGCAAAAATGCAATGCACTATGTTCCTGATCTGGTCCGGAAAATAGTATGAATCCATCCTTAGTCAGAGACCTGGGGAAGCAATTGTCTGCTAGGCCAAGGCACCATCACTAAGGAGCAGGTCACAGCTCCTCCATACCGGAAGTGCCACAAATTACATAGAAGCAAAGAGTTGCGAGGGAGCGCAGGTGATTTTAGGGGGGTCTGGGATGCCCTTTCCAGAGACACTGTCACTTTGCTTGGAACCTTGAGGTCCTTGCAAGTTATATCTATTTTCAATATAAGTATCCCAGGTGGCAGAAATAGCTAGGTGCTATAGATTGCAGACACTTTTTGTACTTTTTTTTCAGTGCCTGGCCCCAAACCCTTTTTCTTCTCTCCTATCAGAGACAAACTATTGGTCCACTACAGCGACCCAAAGAGTGTCTGAATTTCAAAGTACCCAGTCATTCCAGGGTGCTTTAATGGACCGAATGTTCAGTAACCCATAATCACTCCGTCATAAGAGCTACATATTTATTTTGAAATATTCTAATGAGAATATCATTTAAAATATTTACATTTCAGAAATTAGTATCACATCTTATTATCATAAGGCTAAAATATATTTACCTGATCATTTAATGGGATCCCTTTTCCCATCTTCAGTTTATTGCTATGTGGATGATAATCATCTGCATCATAGAATTTCCAACATAGCTACAAGGAAACAAGCAGAGTGCTTTGTAATTTGGCTGTACAGACAATAGATTTCTTATGGCTAGGCTAATGACTTAAGTAAAAGTAATATTTGAGGACATTTTAACTAAAAGTGGAATCCAATGATGAGTTATCCAATGATGAGCACATGTATAGAAATGAGAACTCAGTAATGCAAAGTTTACAGGTGAAACTCGAATAATTAGAATATCGTGCAAAGTTCATTTATTTCACTAATGCAACTTAAAAGGTGGAACTAATATATGAGAGAGACTCATTACATGCAAAGCAAGATAGTTCAAGCCGTGATTTGTCATCATTGTGATGATTATGGCTTACAGCTCATGAAAACCCCAAGAACCCCAAATCCACAACCTCAAAAAAGTAGATTATTACATGCAATCAATAAAACAAGGATTGTACATAGAACAATATCGGACCTCTGAAAAGTACAAGCATGCATATGTACTCAGTACTTGGTTTGGGCCCCTTTTGCAGCACTTACTGCAATTACTTTTGCACGATATTCTAATTATTCGAGTTTCACCTGTATATTCACAAATATAGACTTTACAGGTCGCATCACGTCTGACATGGAAGACATGTGATGCCTAGGCTTCCTTTCTCCCCGACACTACATATGCCCACATACTACCCCTGAAATAGTAGAAGATGAAAACACCAGTGTATTCTTCTGAAGGAGGCCAGCACATGTTCTAGTATAGTGCTGCCTCTCCTTTAAGAGTACCACCAGGAATGACAAAAAGGGAGTCAGTCTTTCTAATGAAAGCAATGGCAGAGAAGGAAACCCACACAGCACGAACTATATTCTGGTAGTGAAGGGAACCTTCTTCCAGATGTACATAAGCCGAACAGAGAGGTGGAAGAACAATGTCCTGGTTGAGGTGAAGGGCCAAAACTAACTTAGAATCGACGGAGGCTCTAGACCTCATTACGAATGTATACTTGTGTGAGATCAAAAAGGGTTCTTCAAAGGATAAAGTCATCAGCTCAGGTACACATCTTGCAGAGGTGATGGCAGCAAGGAAGGTAACCTTGTGAGAATGGAAAGGGAAATATCCCTGATTCCCGAATAGGTTCAAAACGTGTTCTCTAAAGTGGCATAGTACCAAATTTAGATCCCAGAGTCACAGGCATTTGTACAGCAGGAGCCACATGAGAGTCACCCTGTAAAAAATCCTTGGCCAAAGCATGGAAGGCTAGGGGGTAGGGATGTTCAGATACCAAGTACCGTAATCGGTACAAGTACATGTACAGATACTTTTCCAGCTCCAAGACTAGACTAGAGAAAAATTCAAAAGTTAGGAGGCATCTGTCATTTTTAAGGAGCATACGTAGCTCCTTGAATTTGTTCATCCCTGTTTTAATGTATAATTTTTAAAATAACTATATATAAAAGGGATGCACTGATACCATTGTTTCAAGTAAAAGTACTGATACTTGCCCAAGTACTTACAAGTACTGATACATTTTTGTTTATTGTCATGTGACAGTTTTTCTAAAACAATACAGACTAATGATTTTAGGACAGTGGTGGAGGACCAGAGCCAGGTCCCAGCTGCAATAGCTGCAACCCTGGTAGTTCTCGTGAAAATGCCAAGTATCGGCACTGGTATCTGAACATCCCTACTAGGGGGTCTTTGGAATAAAATTGCAAGGGCAAATAGTTGTCCCTTGATGATACTCGGAGCCAAATGTTGCTCTAAACAGCATTGTAAAAAGGTCAAGATTCATCCCACAGTCTGCACTATTTAGAGGTGCCTTGACGCGGCTGTGCAGCTTCCACATTTTCTGCAGAAGACGTGTATCTAAACCTCTGTTTTTAACCTTAGCGGTGAGACAAGTTTTTTTGCATGCTGGCTGGTTAGTGTGCTGGGAAACTTTTTGCTGTTTCTACTGTAGGCCCTTCCATGTGCACCTTGCTGTAAAGCTGGTAACAAATTGATGAGTGTGTTTGCCATTTGTTTTGTGTGTATAAGGGGGTTGCATTATTGTGTATGTGTGTATTTCTGTGTGTGGGGGGCTGCATTATTGTGTATGGGTGTGTGTGTTGCATTATTGTGTAAAAGTGTGTGTGTGTGTATTTCTGTGTGGGTGGGTGGTTGCATCATTGTGTATGTGTGCATTTCCGTCTGTGTGGGTGGATGGGGGTGGATGCCATCATTGTGTATAAGTGTATGTTTGTATTTCTGTGTGTGTGTGTGTGGGGGGGGGGGGCATATTCACACCTGTAACTTTAGGTGCGCTTAGGTATTGCTGATGCGTTTTCTTGCAGCAGGAATCCCAAATCTGGTGTTTACAAGTGGTAGCTGTCACTTGTAAACGCCAGACCACCGCATGTGATACGATTACAGGTAGTCAGAAAACAATCACTATCCCTGAATGCATCATCAATTGATTCCTAATCTGCAAATAGGCATCACTGATATCCACCGCGGTTAGAAGGTCTCTCTGGTGAACGGAGGCTATGAGAAAACTAACTTGCCCACACAAATCTGCAATCTCTCAACTGCACCCCCCATCCCCCCGCGGCAGCCAGTGTAGGGTTTGTCCACCATACACTGCACTGCAGCCCTGCAGTAAGCATCCAGCATAATGCTCTCAAATGGAGAGCACTCATTGGTCAGCACAGTCACCTGACCAAGCTAACCAATGAGCAGCGCTTCTGTGGCTGTCAGAGTCTTGCAATGTCTCATGGAACGTGTAGTTTCACAACAGCTGGAGTGTCAGCGTTGCCTACCCTTTGCTCTAAGACAATAGGTAAGCAACAAGCTCAGCAGCAAATTGTCCTTTAGATGTTATTAAAATGTCATCTATGAATGTTATGTTTCTATATTACCCTTTACTCAGTACTCTCCTATGTTCTGTTTAGCCAATAGGTTCTGCTTTGATTAGGGATGCACCGATATATCGGCCGCCGAAACATACCGGCCGAAAATGGCACTTTTGGCATAATGCTGCAAGCGCCATTTTCCTGCCGATACAGCGGCGCATCCATTCTTTCTCTCCTCCCCGCTGGGCGCTGCTCTGTGTCCCAGCGCGGAGGAGAGAAAGTGTAACTGCCGGCCAAGCGCTGCGGGAGTAGAAGGTTGTGAGTGGCCGGCTTCTCTCCTCCCACACCGCTCAGCATCCTATCACAGTCCGGCAGAGCGGTGTGGGGGCGGAGACAGCCCGCGCTGTCACAGGAGGCTGAGCTCTCCTCCCGCACCGCTCGCTCAGCCTCCTGTGACAGCTGTCAGAGAGGAGAGCAAACACTCAGCGATCAGTGATGGCTGAGTGTTTGTACATAATTGAGGACATGGTATGTGTACTATATCCTCAATTATGAATGAATGGGAGCAATCTATATCTCCTCCTGTTCATTCATGACTGTGGTTATAGTAACCATACTATGTCCTCATGTTATCAACGAACACGGTCAGTATACAGGATTCCTGTTAATTGATAACAGGGGCTGCAGAAAAAGAGATAGAGGACTTTGTGCTCTCAATCTCTTTTTCTATTTGAAAAGGGAAATATCAGGGGTCTGTATAGACCCCTAATATTTCCCCCAAGCCCCTAAAAGTAAAGTAAAAAATACAAATATTTAATAAAAAATGAAATATATAAAAATAAATATTAGAAAATTAAAACGTTTATAAAAAAATAAATAATACAATATTTTAAAAATTTGACAAAATGAAAATAAAAAAACAGTTTCAGTTTCGGCCTGACAATTTTTAAAATTTTGGTTTTGTTTTCGGCTTTGAAATTTCCATTTCTGTGCACCTCTAGTTTTGATGATAAACGTACCTTATTTGCCAGTTGGGATCCTACTTCAGTTCTGTAAGAGACAGATGTGGAGGGACAATGATTTAGACTGGTCGTTCTTGTGCAACTCTTATAATTTGACAACATAATGCTTATTAAAGGACTGACAACTAGCATAAGTGACCCAAGTACTCCATGTGAGTCTGGGATATTCCAGCATGCTGGGAATGATTGTAATAATAAATTAAAAACTATTCTGTTTTTCCCACATGAATTCATTATTTCACTGCTGTATGCCAAGATACAAAATGTAAGTGTATGGAAAGCTATTTTTTCTACTTTTGTATAGAGTAAAGCAGTGTTTCCCAACTTAAAAAAAAAAAAAATCACATCCTAGTCTAAAATGTAAATGTAAATAATGATGTGTTGTCCCTCCAAAATCCATACCAGACTCTTATCTGAGATAGACTAAGCCTTATTGTGTGATTGATCCAATCTCTGTTATTGACAACTGGACCGTGAATTGCCAGCTTTACATGACTAGGATGGAAAACATGTATACAATCTTCTCAACTATGACCCAATTTAGGATAAACAGTAATAGTGAGCAGGATTTGGGCTTTGACCATCACCTGTTGCTTGTCTGCAGTCTCTGACCATCTCCATGAGTAGGATGTGGGCTTTGGCCATCACCTGTTGCATGTCTGCAGTCTCTGACCATCTCCATGAGTAGGATGTGGGCTTTGACCATCACCTGTTGCATGTCTGCAGTCTCTGACCATCTCCATGAGTAGGATGTGGGCTTTGACCATCACCTGTTGCATGTCTGCAGTCTCTGACCATGTCTTGTAGCATACCCAAGGTCTATACCCATCTGTTTATTGGGATAAACAGTAATAGTGAGCAGGATGTGGGCTTTGACCATCTCCTGTCACATGTCTGCAGTCTCAGAAAGTTTTCTATAGCATTACTTTCACTAAATAGTATGTGTGGTGATGTCAGGGACCACACCTGATACCACCTATATGAAGAAATTTGACCACCACTGTAAAGGGTTCACATTAGGGATGCATCGATATATCGGCCGCCAAAACATATTGGCCGAAATAGCGGTGCATCCCTGCTTTCTCTCCTCCCTGCTGGGCGCTGCTCTGTGTCCCAGCGGGGAGGAGATAAAGTGTCACAGGCGGCCGAGCGCTGCGGGAGGAGAGCGCTGTGAGCGGCCGGCGTCTCTCCTCCCCGCACTGCTCAGCCTCCTGTCACAGATCAGAAGTGCATTGTGTGGGCGGTGACAGCTGTCAAAGGGGTCCGGCCAGCGGTGCAGGGGAGGAGTCAGTTGTCAGACCGAGCTCTCCTCCCTACACCGCTCGCTCAGCCTCCTGTGACAGCTGTCAGGAAGGAGAGCGAGGTACAAACACTCAGATCAGTGATCGCTGAGTGTTTGTAAATAATTAAGGACATGGTATGTGTAATATATATTTAATTATGAATGAATGGGAAGTGAACTACATCACCTCCTGTTCATTTAGGATTGTGTAATATTAACATTTTTGAAAGTTTATAAAAAATAAATATAAAATATTTGTTTTTTAAATGTGAAGTTTGAATTAAAAAACATTTTCGGTTTCGGCCTGACATTTCGGTTTTGTTTTTTAAAATGTTCATTTCGGTGCACCTCTAGTTCACACACCTGATGTACATGCACATGCTTATTTCTGGTCTGTGTGCGCGAATAAATACTACCATTTTGTAAAGTGCTGCACAAACTGTTGGTCGCTATATAATACCCGTATTATAATAATAATAATGATACAGTCAGGATCACAATGATATTCCTGAATCTTGCACCTTCTAAAACAAGCCAGAAGAGGCAGCTGAGATATTCGTATCTTGAGACATGCCCTCTCTACAAGGATCCAGCTGGAATTAGAGCACAAACTTCCACAATGCTAACAAAGCCACAGGCTGCCCTATTGTATTTCCTTATCATACACATTTCTGAGCAGGGTGCTAACCCTTTGGTCTACATTCACACTAGAACACCCATGTTTAGACCTCATTCACACTGGCAATGTCAAACCTGAGGATAAATGCATAAAGAAAACATTTCTAAATGCATACAAAATACCGTATAAATGCATTCAATGATTTTTCAATGGTATCATTCAAACTGAATGTTTACCTGCCTTCAAGTGCAGTCAGTTCAGTTGTGTTTGGAGAAATTAGAATTCTGTGCATCCAGGATCTGATTAGAAACTCTATATGCAGCCAAACACATGTAATGCTGCTAAACCCACTTTAAAAGAGGACTATGGCCCAACCTGTTTTGGACGTAGATCCCTTTAGGGTCACAGGAATATATTTACTAATGTCCTCCTGTGACATAAAACTCAGCATATGGTGGGCTACTGCCCTATATGTGCTGAGAGTGCAGAGCCGAGCTGCGGCTGGGATGGATCCCGACAATACTGTCGGGATCCACCCCAGTGTCTGATTGACAGCTGGATCTGCCTCTCTAGAGGGGGAATCCCTGTGGGGAGTGGAGACTGACAGACACTACTATCTGCAGGGAGAAGTTTGGGAAGGGAGCGATCAGCTGTATGTGAGTTCTCGGTCTATAGAGCTGACGTGTGACAGCTGCAGTGTCATATGCCGGCTCTAATAATAGGGAAGAGTTTATTTCACTCTCCCCATAATTCTCCTTTAAAGCAATAACATCAAAGCGCACAATAAAATGATCTAGGAAGCATGCATCCAAGTGTGAATAAGGCCTTAGGTCATTTAAAGGCGGGATAAACTATCTGGGAAGTATAAAGAAACGGTATGCTTCCCAGATCAGGTTCTCCTGCGTTTAGATGTACCTTGCCTTTATCTGAGAATACATGCAATTAAACCCATTCCGTGTATCTTATTGGCCCCTGGACACACATAATTCTATTTCCTTGTTCATACCACGTCTGTTGAGCTGTGCATTTTTGCACACAACCGCACATGTATGGCGTGAACAGGACACATAATAAACAGTTGTTTTCTATGTGCTCTGTTCACACCGTACATGTGTGCAGAAAAACTCAGCTTACCTTAGATTGTAAGCTCCTTGAGGGCAGGGATGTGAATGTGCAACTATGTAAAGTGCTGCGTAAAGTGTCGGCGCTATATACATACCTATAATAATAAAAAAAATAATAGACATGGTGTGAGCAAGGCCTAAATGCAGCTAAGCTGAATGCACCTAAACACAGGTAAATGCACAGTGTGAACTGCCCCATTTAAAATCATTAGATGCATTTAGGGCCGGTTCACACATACTGCGGTGACCTGCACTGTACCACGCCAGATCAATGGAGGTCACTGCAAAAACACATAGAAAACAACACTTTTTTTTGTGTCCCATTCACACCACAACGGGGGTTGTGAAGAAGGGCGGTGCACTGCGCTCAGATAACATACAAACATGCTGCATTTTTTTCGTATCGCACTGGATGCTACTGCAGATCATCGCACGGCAGCACAGCACACCACGCTGCTGAGGGGGACCTGAATGCAGTGTACACACCACATAAAGTTTAAACTAAATTGAAAAATGTAAACAGCGACCGCTCCGGCAGGGTGCGATACAACGCACACTGCTGGAGCTGCCATAACGCACTAGAATATCTGCTAAAAAACAGTGTTTCAGCAGACGGGCTAGTGTAAATGGGCCTTTATATGCGTTTATGCGTCTATGAATGCGGGTTTGTCAATGCCAGTGTGAATGAGGCATTAGGCTGATGTCAGATGGGTAACTCGGTCTCTAGTAATCCTGACAATGATGAGGCCAGTGAATGAGCGACATCTTGCTGCACCTAGGTACAGACAGGAAGCCTGTTCAGTGATCCTGACACTTGTGATTTGTCTCTAGTTGCAGAATTGCCCATCTGACATCATCATTATAGCTGTAGAGTGTAGAGTAGGTGATCTCTTCTCCTGCCCATATAGTAAAGTCATAAAAGTGCCTCTCCCCACTGATATACACACACATCTTATGTCCCAATGTAAACACACAACTTCCCCCTCCTCCCTTATATACAGCACATCACATGGTGCACTGTCAGCTTACTGCTAGGCTCATCACAGCTCATATAAAGTACCCTTAAATACACAAGGTATACGTACTTCCCACACCCGCTCACTCCCATTATCACCACTATCATTGCTCAGTCCGCTCTGCAGCCAGGAAGCCTGCTTGATTCTATATCCCGTCTGCCTGCCCGTATTCATGCTGTCACTACAGCGCCCCTGCAGGCTACATAAGGGTACTGCTCAAGAGCGCGCCCCTGTCATTAAAGTGTATCTTTAGGACAGGATAAGCAATCTCGGCACTCCTGATGTTGTGTAACTACAAGTCCCATGAGTCATTGCAAGGCTCTGACACTCACAGGCATGACTCCCAGACACAGAGGTATTATGGGATGTGTAGTTGCACCACATGTGGCATGCAAAGCTGCTACCCCTGCTCTAGCCGAAACCTTTGTTGTAGTTTTGGATAGAGTGGGGAAGGGTTAGGCCCTCTGTCATATTTTTTTAAGGAAAGTGCCAGAAGCAGAACGTATCATTCCAGATGCCAGATAAGCCCTAGGCCTCATACACACAGGTTACATGCATTAACCACAGCAGAAGTTATCTAGGAAGTAGAAATAACTTTTGAGGCATGTTCACACTATAGCATTGCAATAAACATGGTAACCTGTGTTTAATGCATGCTTTCACACAACACACCTAATGCATCCCAACCTGAAAAAATTAATTTCAGGGAGGTGCCCTTCTCATTTCAGAGAGGTGCCCCCTCCCCATCCACAGGGGTAGAGGACACCTCCCTGACATGATGGCAGATAGCAAAGAGCCAGCCGCCAGTCCTGGGAGCACTGCCTAAAGGTGCCCATACACCTTACGATTATCGGACTCAATTTTTCATCCGATGATCGAACCGTCGTACGATTTCCGTACGACGGCCCCATCCTGCCCTGATTATCGCAAGGTTCAATCAGCGGTAGTTAAAAAAAAAACCTGGACGACTTGCGGTAATTGACCGCAGTTATTTTCGTATGCGCAGTGTTAATTGTGCGACTTTTGACGGACAGAACAGTTTTAGTGTCTCAGAAAGTGCAATAGCCAGTGGGTTTGCATACCAGCCAGGGATCTAGTGTTTTCAGAAGGAGGCCAATGATGGCCTTTTTCATATTTCTTTTACATCATAGCATCACTTATCTACTACAGCCTTTTTTGTAGCCACTTAAGGGGCAACAATAAAAGTACAATTACTTTAAAGAAGAACTCCGGGCAGAGGAAAATGTAACACTTGCAGTGGGACAACCCCTGCATAGCAAGGGTTAATTGCTCTTTTTGGTCATGGGTCTAAAATACAAAGATATACTCACCTGAACCTCGGTCCCACCTGGATGCTAGGCTGGTCCCTGCAGCCTCTCTCACTCTTTGTTCCAGTGATAGAATGTCCCTCAGTGTACTCACCTGAACCTCTGTCCTGCCAGGCTGCTAGACCGGTCCCTGCATCCTCTCTCACCCTTCACTCCAGTAATGGAATGTTCCTTGGCGTCCTCACATCCAATTTAGGGATTGGCAGATCACTGGAGTGGATGGGGAGAGAGGCTGCAGCAAGGGTGTGGACATTTTTTTAAAAACTACTCATCCAAGGACTAAAGTGGGGGCCCAAACTGTTTGTTCCTAATGGCAATCTACTTGTCCTGATATAAAAAATAACAAAACCGTTTTTAACTGTATTAAGAAGCGTTTCTCATTGGTCAGACCGCGCTGACCAACGAACAAAATGCGAGTAAAATTCAAAATCCATGGCGCAGGGCTGCATTGGACCACAGTATGGGGTACAGATAGTACACCCGTATAGGCAATGAGGGGAGGACTGTTCGCCAAAAGGTAAGTATAGTGGGAGAGAAAGGGGACCAGATTTGAGCAGGTAATTCCATTTACCCAAATTACTTGGAAAAGCAGACCTACCCTTTAATGCACACACACACAATATCCTACACATGCGTTTATTCGCATGCAGATGGCAGGGGCAACAGGGTTGGTTTTATTTTTATTTTTTTTAACTTTTTATCACTATTTTTTTAACTTTTTTAAAATTTTTATTTGTCTTATTATCCTTTATCCTTTTTTTTATAATTTTTAAAATTATTTTTTACTTTTTTTTATCACTTTTTTATTTTTTTTAAATTATTGTATCTTATTATTTTTTTCTTTTCTTTTTTACTTTTTATTTTATTATGTTTTACTTTTTATCAATTTTTTCACTTAATGTTATTGCTATCACACAGGAGCTAACAATCCCCTGTGTGATAGCATTTGGAGGTGACAGGTTCTCTTTATGGACCTGTCACCTCCACTACAGGAGTTCTAGCACAGCACTGTGCTGGCTCTCCTGTGACAGCTGAGATGGGAAGGCTTTGTGTACACACGGAACAGACCGGAGAACGGATGTTCTCCATCCTGAACTACTTTGCCGGGGGACCCTGAAAAGCACGACGGGGAGGGAGACGGCCAGCCGGGAAAGAGGCAGCTGAAGGGGAGAGAGGCAGCCAGCGATAGGGGCGGACCAATGCAGTTGTGTTTATAGAGGTATAATCCTCTCTTTTGTAATGCTTGGTATCCTCTGACAGACGTTCTAACCTTTCTCTGCTACATCCATAATTAACTGAAGAGTTTGGGCTGGAGTTGGGCTTGAAAAAGAGCCTGTCAAGATGGGCGCCTCAAGATGCCACACCTCAAGCTCCTTTCAGGTGCCATTTAATAATTCCAGAAAGTAGTGCTAGTTCCAAACGCAGAGAATAACACTACGTCATCAGGCCGATCAGTTGTTCTCCAATGTTTCCTTTAATAAAGATGAAAAACAAATGTAGTATCACCTCTTGTTGTTGGCTCGTGTGGATGCATGGTGTAATAGAACACACTATAATGCACTTGTTACGGTCCAGGTACATTTACAATGGGAATGCGTTGTATTGCTGAAGTTTCCATTATTGATGTAGTGCTTGCTTAGCCATGTCAGCACTCCAGATTCCAGCTTGCCATTATCCTGATGGATTGGCTTGCCCTCAAATTCTTCTTTACAGTCATAAAGTTTACAGTGTGCTCTATATCAACAATAGAAGAAGCAATATTCTTTCTTCACGACCATTGCCGGCATTTTGTAACCAAGAATACTATGATTATTGCAAACATATTGGGGAGAATTTATCAACACTGGAGCAGAAGAAATCTGGAGCAGCTGTGCATGGCAACCGATCAGCTTCTCTCTTTCATTTTCAAATCTTAACGGAGAGATGCCGATGGGTTGCCCTGGGCAACTGCTCCAGATTTTGTCCAGTTTTGATAAATTGCCCTCATTCTATTCTGCTAAGTGTACGTGGTTAATACATGTACAATACAAGCAACAGTGGCAGGAGTTGGGACAGACTGAAAAATTGTGGAGGTTACTTGTCGCTGGTTGTCAAGTAGTCGCTGGCTTCTAATATTGAAGAGATATTGAAGTCAAAAGGTTTCTAATTGCATGTCTGCATTTTAATGCAACGCACTGAAACCCACCTCAAGATGGCATTGTGGTGTGAACAGGGCACATGTGTTCTGGCCTTGAGCCAGAGCAGAGAGTGCAGATCAATGCAGTTCATTTGAACTGGTGTAAACAGGCCCTAATGTCTGACTATTCTGGGACCCCCTGTCCACCACACACACACACCTACCATGTAGTCTCTACTCCCCATCTCTCTTTTTCAAGAGCTATAAGCTCTATTGATAGTTGTTTTTTTTATGTCAGGTTTTTATTTTACTTAAAAAAATATCTCTGGTTGGCTGCCATGGCTTTGCTTTATCACTTATCATGGTACAGTCTTAAAAAGAAGTTGGAAAATGTGTGTGGAAACAAAATATTCATGATGGTCAACTAGGTGGAAGCCAGCACTATTTGCAATGAAAGGCTGAGTAGTACTTGATAAAATCGCACAGTCTCAAATCAATGTTGCCAGGAGCTGGGCAAGACACAGGCCAGAGCTCTTAGAAACCTGGGATGCTCTAACCGTAAATAGAAGCCGCCTGAGGGACCTATAATAAGCTGTCCTTTTCATTGAACTTGTGCTTTTTCTGCGCAAGGCAAAGCAACAGGTTCACTTTAGTACTGCCTTTCCCAGGAGCACATACTCAATTAGTTTACATGCATTACTCTATTTAGCAGCTAGGAGTGAGGAAAGGAGTCACTCTAGTGGGAGCTTACACTGGGCTATGGGAGGACTCCCTAGCTTTCCCATTGTGACAGCAGTGCAGCACCAATATCCTGTCCTGTCACTTGAGAGGAAGGGTAGTGAGTCACATGCTTCATCACACCTGGAAGTACCAGACATCTTGTTTGCTTCTAGCGGCATAACAGAGCAGCATGGGAGTAAAAGAAAGGTGAGTATGTGCTGCTGTAGAGGAACACATTAGACTCAACCTGCTTTCCCCTACATGAGCAAAGTAAAGGTTTGCTTTATATGTATACAGCTCAACTTTGTTTTTAACAGAGCTGGGTAGGGTAAAACCTCTGGAGAGATTTGCCTTCACATCTTGGCCATATGACCACACAGAAAGTAAGAGGAATTTCCTCAACTGTGCCTCACAAAAGCAATTGAAACCTGAACAAGGTGTACTTTACGTAATGTATTAACCCTCATCACTGCAAGATTTTTTTGTATGCACTCTCCGTTCTTTACGAATGGAATTAATATTTTAGGATTGAGGATTGTGTCCATCACAACAGCACCAGCTGCGCCTTGTTTGTTAGAAATATTACAAGACAAATATGCAATTTACAGGAATGTTTAGATTTCATAGAGTGGGGCCCTATCAAGAACATGCATTTAAGGACCTACTGTCCTCTATAGAGAAACAGGAATGGGGGAAAAGCCAACAGGGCCCTGTGCATAAAAATCTCTGAATTAAAAACTGTCTTTAATAACCAAATGACTTTAGATTAGTTTATATGTGCACAAGAAATATAAAAGGAAGAATCTGATTTATTGCTATAGACCAGCCTTTCTCAACCAGCATGCCATGGCACCCTGGGGTGCCTTCCAATTTTCACAGTGTCATGGTAAAGACGAGCTGGCCACCAGCACAGTGGAAATGCATGGCGCTCATTCAGGACGGGATGCAGCCAGGACCTCCCAGAGCTTTCAGAAGCGGACAGATGTCCACCTTCATCCAGACCTGCTCACCGTCCTGCCCTCTGTCATGCTGCCACATGGGAGGGCAGGAGTGAAGATTATAACAAGGTAGGACTCTGATGTGAAGGGAGATTGAGGACTCTAATGTGAAGGGGGCTCCTGATGATGAAGGGGGGAACACCATGATGTTTTGTTTTTTGGCATGGAGCCCCTCCTTAAAATTCATACCAGACCTCTATTTAGGATAAGGGTCTGGTACAGACCTCACGTAATTTTTTTACATTCATTTTTTTTACACTGGGGTGCCTTAAAATTTTGCATACTTTGAAGAGTGCTGCGACTGAAAAAAGGTTGAGAAACATTTAACACAGATGATTCCTTCAGACACAAAAAGCCCAATGGGGTTATGAAACGAGCCTATGCATTTAAAAATGCCAGGTGAAGACTTGTCTATTTGTTCTCATATGCTGCTGTTTATTCTGGGATGACATCCAACATAACCTTCCACTTCCAGCTACTAATAGTTCAGTTATTCGTGTCTCAACACAGAATCAAATTTCAGGGAAAGCAACACAACCTGACAGGGCAAGTTATATTTATTACTAAATATAGCAATGTGAAAAAATAAAGAAGAAAAATGCCTTAAATAATACCTTCCATTCTAACCTTTTATTTTACAAGTGACAGCTGATGCCATGGACTGTACCGCAATCTAATTTTCTTGTCAACATTGGCCAATTGTAGTAATATTCTTATGCAATAATGTCAGGCTACAATTAAAACAGCTACATTATATCCTTAAACTAAATGTTCTTTAATATTTAAAGATGAAGGTTGTGATTGGTAGTCATTGATGGCTGTGTCCTCCATGAGCATGGATCCAGACATAGGAATGAATGAGGCAGAGGAACACATGCACAGTTGGCATAGGGCTCGGCTGGGAGTAATTTCAAGCAAAGGTTGGTAGGGCCACACAATACAGCTCTGCAAAATTTGAATTTGCTCAAATTTGTGAATTTTAGGGCTTTGCATTTGCCTAAGGCATACATTTTGGGTGAAATTGCTTTGTCACCAAATGTTGCTATTTAGCCATAATGCCTTGTGCACCCTTTGTTCTTGGTCAGCAGCCATTAATGGGGGTGGGGACTTGATAACCTCAACTATAAAAAGGAGCAGTTTTAGGCGGGAATTAATAAAAAGTGTCTGGGACAAGTTGGATCTCAATTGTTGTGTTTGCTCACAGCAACTAATTAGCTTCCATGAGAAGGGGAAGCTTTCACCGCTTCACCCAGATCCAAGCTCCACCACTCGGTCTTGCCTCAGGTGCTGGCTGGGAGCCATCCACACTACACAATCATATTAAACCAAAAATAGCCGCACACCGCCAAACATTATCATTATATGTTTATTCAAACCCAACCATTAGCACCGTATGATTCTCGCCTGATGATCACCCACCTCTAACGTGTTTTACCCCTTCGGGCCTAGTCGTAGAGATCTCAGTAGAGAATGCAGTGTTCTAGCTAGTGAGAATGTGCCCATAAAGTTTATTTTAGGACTACTATATCTGTGTCAGCAGCAAGTTGGATTGCTAGTTGTTTGGCAATCACCCCCTGAGGACTGGTTGATACCAGACACGATGGGATGCCTTGCCTAACTCAGTCCCAATGCATGGACACGGCAATTTGCCTTGTGTTCTATGGTATCAATTTACACCACCATACTGAGGAGGTGTGCACTGGAAAAAAAAAACAGGGCATGATGCACTTTTTTTTCCACCGTATCCAAAAATAAAATTGAATGAAATGTCACTTTGGACATTCGTAAGTTAAAAAAATGGAAACAGTGCAACAGCGCAATACACCACTTCCTTTATAGTGCACACCACTGGCCATGTCGTAGTGCACTGCTGGTGTGAACGGACACTTCTTTTTTTGTTTTTTGCTCATTGGGGTTTTTTTTTTTTTGCTGCAGTTTTGGTTTGCGGCTGATTTGCTGCTGCTGACCAGTAAATAAGAAAGCTGTTTTTTTTTGCAACAACAAAATATATAGTGGGCTTTTGTTTTTGGGGTTTGTTTTTTAGTGTCTTTTTTTTTTGGGGGGGGGGTATCTTTTTTTTAATTTTGTGTTGGCGGGGCAGTGAGTGATTGAAGTGCAGCATTTACTTCTTGCTGATCATCTGTTCTTGGAGCTGCCTTTTGTTCACAGCACATCGTGCATCCAAATAAAGATAAAACACAAAGTATAAAACAGTACACACCAAAACAACTCACACACTCCCCAACATTCCCCTAATCCTATAGTAAAAGTTAGGGATATACCTGAAATATACTAAAAGAGCAGGTAAGCCTAAAGCAGAGGCAGTGGTCCTGGGCATGGAGGTACTAAAGGGTGACTGACTCCACAAGCAGGTCTTGCATTACAAAGCAGTGGTACGTTCGCACTCAGCAGGGGCAAGGTGCATCTGACACTTTTTGGCCAAAGAAGCTGACCAATTCAGCCACAGCATGCAGATGTGACTGACCAAGAAAGCTTGATTATTATAGCAATGCAAAAGTCTTCCTTCTTTCCCTGGTGGAGGAGTGGTTGTGGCAAAGGGAGGAAGACAGCAGGTTCAGCAGAGAGGGTGGGCCAGGTGCTAAGCAAAAGCCATAAAAGTGCAAGTAGTTGGCACTTTCTTCCATGTAAGCCCCAATGAGGACGATTAGACAGCAGATAATGAGTTGTCAGACTTACTTGGGTGCCACGGAGGGGAGAGCTTTGGCAACGTTCAAGGAGAGGTGAAAGTGGAAGAGCAATGGCATGCTTGAACAGAGAGAATGTTGCCATTGGGTAGGGGAACTTTGATGCAGAGAGCTGGGAGAGATGTGAAAACTACATCATATCTGGCAAATCTGGCAGCACAGGGCATTTCACCCTAAAAGTGAATCAGCGTAGCTCTCCAGTTTGGTCCCCGCAGCATCTTTCTTCAGTGGATAGTCACAGCAAGAACAGCTACTTTGGCATTAACCTAATGCAAAACCACATAAAGCTGGGTGGGAGCAGTACCTGGCAGAGACAAATCTACTGCAACAGTCCTGCCCCCCTATTCCTTCCTCTGCTACATATCCCCCCCATCCTGCTCCATCCAGTGAGAGGGAGTCAAGTTTTGCTGGGGGACTGAGAAGTCTATCAGAAGTTCTTGAAGCAAAGGCTTGAACCTCAGCCCTTGCCCACACCCATCATCACAAGTAGCAACCTTCACTTGCCTGGGTTCTGTTTCCCAGGTACTGGTACGGAATAAAAAGCACCACCCTAACAAGCCCAACAGCCAGCGTCTAGCATTAGCCATGCATTTAGCTAAACTCAAGGTGCTGCAAATCCTTCCATATTAGTGATTGGAAACAGCTCCTTTCAGTCAGTTCATGGCCTGTGTGGCCCTTCAGTGTCAGATACGCAGCCATCATTATTCTTCTCAAATTTGGCAGCTGGAAGGATGCAATAAGGGGGAGGCCACTGCTGCAAGCTTGCTTACCTCAACCTCCACCTTGTTCTTCTCATCCTCAGTCCTTGTCCAGGAACACCTTCATGACATCCTCATTATACTTCTTTTTAGAGGGTTCCCACTGGAGGAAGCAAAAGGATGGACAACAGTCTGATAGGCCAAAGCTCAGCAATGGAGACGTAAGAGTTTTATTGTTTTTTTTCCAGAATAACATAGCTCCAACCATAGTGCATTACCGAGTATAGAACCATTATTTCCTGTCCCAAGCAAAGCTCACAATCTGATGCCCTTACTATAGTCATACACAAACTAGGGCCATATTTGGGACCAGTTACCTTGTTGTTCCCCACTATTTTTATTGTTATTATTCTGCCTTGATTTCGGTCGTCCGTTGTTATTTGTTATTTGTTATTTGGATTGTAGGCGGAAGCCAAGGAAATTCAGGGGCTGATCGAGACAAATCTAGCCGTGTATGTGTATGCTGGGTACATACTGATAGACTTTTTTCAATTAAAGCTATGAGACTTTGAATCTCCCACTGCGTCCTTTGTAATCTGACAGCACCACCTGCTGCTGTCAGAATCTGCAAACAGTGCTTGCAGCTGATTAACTGCAAGCTCTGACAATTTTCCAACATCTCCTTTCCAAAAAAGTTGATCTAACCTTTGACTTTTGTTGAGGAGATAGGGACAGCTGCAGGTTGAATTTCTGCCGATTACTGATAAATCTGCCATAATTCGATTTGTGTGTAGCTTTAAAGAAGAAGTCGTGGAATTTTAACCCTGGGGTAGCCCAGCTGCAAGGGTAGTTTTTAAAATGCCCCGAGGTCTTCTTTAAAGCTGCACACAAATCGAATGTGCTCAATTTGGTCTAGGGGCCGGAATAAAGAAGATATACTCAGCTAGTCCTCAGTTCTGTGACAGTCAGTACTCACCCCCTATGCCTCTGCTGCGGCTGTGGAATGGCCCTTGCATCTTCATGTGCAATACAAGTCAGTGAACTTGCATTAGATGTGATGATGTCAGTAGTCCTTAGAGCCCAGGGGAGAAGAGGCTGTGAGGACCAGTGTAGCAACCAGGCAGGACTAAGGATCAGACGAGTATATCTTTTTTTTTTTTAAAGCCCCTAGACCAAAATGAGCACCTAAAGTAGTATGAAACGCTCCATCTTTATTTCAATAATGAATCCAGATCAAACCAATATATATTGCCCTGCAAAGTATTTCTTTATATTTTTGTCCAAGCACTTACAGTCATCATGTTTCTGGACAGCTGGCTCCAACTCTCTCACCTCAGCTTCTTTAAACTTCCTGCCCAGTTCAAGATCACAAGGGACGGCACAGTCTCCATCAGACAGTACTATTCATACCTTATTTGCGGCCTGAGGTGGCTAGAAGGAGGGAGCGGTGGGTTAATGCGGTCCAGAATCACCCGAGGTGTCAACTGCAGAGAAGGAAGGGATGGTTTGGGCTGAGCTGTCTTCCGGATGGGAGTTGTTGGGTGGCCGAGCTGTCAGCTGGGGAAGGAGGGGTGCTGTAAGTTGCACATGCTACTGTCCCCACCATGAGATGCCGCCTGAGGCTACTGCCTTCGTCTGCCTCATTATGGAGATGCCCCTGCCAGGAGATGTCCATCTACTAGCTTGCAGAAGGGAGGTGGGGGGATCAGGAAAGAGGACACACACACAGCTTACTATCACACACACGGGTGACTCTATAGGACCCTGCAAAAGAAAGGAGCCACCCTAGAACAGAATATAAGGACTCAATACAAGGAATTGTACAGGGAATATAAGGACTCATAAATACATATACAGAATATAATGACTCATAAATACAAGGAATCATGTGACCAGCTAATTTTGCAGGAAACTAAAACTTTCAAACATCAAGGAGCAGCATCCATTGTAAGTGATTTGAAATAACGTAAAATCCTTTTGTTTATCATCACTTTAACCCTTGCCGTGTGGGGGTATCCCCACTGCAAGAGTTCATTTTCTTCTAGTTCTTCGATAAACAGTAAGGATGGGGGGTCATCTCCACTGCCGGCTATTGTATTCATTCACCGCGGCATCTGCGTTCGCCTCATTGCAGTCATGCTGCTGAGCAGTGGTTTCATCTGATAGGATGCATTCATGGTTTGGTCGGCTCCGATCGAAGCGCTGGGCACACACCTTACAACCATCGCAAGACTTTTGTCTTGCGATGGTTGTAAGGTACTTAAAAAACCGTACAATCTGCCTATGTTGCATAGGCAGATCGTACTTGCGATGACCGCAAGCCACGCCCCCTGAGGGGCGGGCTTCCGATGACCGCAATGCCGAACGGGCAGTGTGCGCTTGCGCACACCGGCCCGTGCGGCTGTTATCGTACGGACATGCCACAAACCCGCCGAACATCGTACGATGCTCGGCGGGTTTTCTAACATGTCCGTAAGTTTAAAGTCGTGCGACCTTACAGTAGTAGAGGTCGCACGGCTTCCACACACCTTACGATCATCGTACGATCGCGGGATTTCCCGCGATTATCGTACGATAATCGTAAGGTGTGTGGGGACCCTAAACGCTTGCAGGAACACCCACGGCTCAATTTATTTTTAATCGGTCAGCTTTAACGGCAGTACACGTCATGGCATGCCATGATAACCCACACCAAAACAATGCAGCATTCTCCAGCAGGGGCTGTAGTAAATAAGTGTGGGATGCTGAAGAGAAGCTCCATGCCTGTAATGTCATTGCATTTGTCTAGCACACACCCTCCTCATTTTGCTGGGGAGGTGACAAACACTCCACATAGCTGACTGCAAACCCAGCCTCGCTCTCATAGCAGTACCAGCACACGGCCAGCTAGCCAGCCAGCCAGCCTCCCTCCCACCATCCCCGGAGATAATAGGGATCACAGGCTTGTCTCCTCTCCATCCTAGAGCCGGGAGGGAGGGAGGGAGGGACAGGGGAGGACATGTATCCTGGGCTCCAGCACTAAGAGCCGGCTTCACCTCTTCTAGTCCCAGCAAGGCTCCGTGTATGTTTGGCTGCCAGTGCACCCACCAGAAGGGAACGATGAAAATGAACCGTTTAAGGACTGCTAGTATGAGATCCTTAACTCTGGACATGAAATGCACCATCCGCCTGCTGGATGACACGGAGATCTCCTGCAATATTCAGGTATGAACGATCCCTGGTGGATTGGGTCGGCGGACGGAAAGTGAAATCGGTGTGGGGGGGTAGAAGTTTAGGAGGGAGGTGAACATGGATCTGACTAGGCTAAAGCTTTGTGTAGGAAAGTTGTGATCGTGCCATTGTTTATTGTCATGGTCTTCATCCCTGTGCCTGTGTGTGTACAGAAGGTGGTACCTCGCCCTGTTCATCATCACATTCCGTGGATGCTCAGATCTGCTGCATCTCTAGCCACCGGAATATTTCCTGCATTGGAGATCATTCAATAAAACCTGGTGTATTTACATCCGTATTCCCTACACGTGAACATTCACCCAGGCGCCACCCTCTGTCTACACTCCATAGGATTGAATGGAGACAGCCAGCCAGCCAGCCAGAAGAATCACCAAAAGATGCTGCGGGGATAGAATCTATATACCATGCTATGGATCGTACTATAGTCTGCAACTGGAGAACATTTACAGGGAAAGAAAGGGAAACAAACATATTGGCACTAAATGTCATAATATACAACTTTGCTACAATTGTAAGTTGTGAAAGTCATTTTAGCAGGAGGGATTTATGCCAAATGTCATAGGTTTTAGTTACAGTTGCAGATTTTTCTGTGGGGATGGTTGTTGATTTGCTTTGAGATTGAAAATATTGACGGATGTAATCATTTTTTTTGTGTTTTTAAATTATTTGTTTATAAAGACCTCCAGGGGAAGGGGGATTGGGAACAGCGGGCATAAAAAAAACAGGCACATATAGCATAACATGTTAACACAGCTACATACCTACAATCCCATTAATATAGTGCTGGGCTGGACCAATCCCAGGATCCGGGTAGACAGTGCTACTTAAAGTGACAGTAAACTCAGAAGTTAAATTTTAAAAATACATTCAAGTAACTTAAAGTGACTTTAAACCTGCAGATTTTTTAACATAAAACAATATGTGTAATGTGCGCCTTACTGTAATCCATGGTTGTTTCCCTTCTCTTTGCTGCTCTTCCTTTTAAATCGTTATCTCTTCTCATGCTGGGCAGAACTTCTGTTTTGCAGCAGACTGCCTTGTCTCTGAAATGGATACATAGTGTCTGTGTGTAGGTTCACAACCTGAGCCAGCACTACAGGAAGAGGCACTCAGCTGCAAAGGGAAGTTTTCCCCAAGCATGAGAAGACATGAGGATTTAAAAGGAAGAGCAGCAAAGAGAAGGGAAACAACCATGGATTACAGTAAGGCACACATTACAGTATTGGCTTATGTTAAAAAATCTGAGGGTTTAATGTCACTTTAACTATTAACCAAAATGTTTTTTATTTGAGTATCACTCATCAGTAGATCCTGTAAATCATCTCTGAATTGGTGCTGTCACCATCCTTCCTTCTAGAGGGGGGGTACTTTTGTTCCCCATGGTCCCTGTGTGTGTTGTAAAGTGACCGCTCCAATGCTTGCTCCCCTGATGGACAACAATCTCATGTTAAGTTTACTCATCTGTAGATCCTCAACTCATCTCTGAATTTGTGCTGACACTGTCCTTCCTTCTGGAGGGTGACCACTTTTGTTCCCCATGGGGAAACAATATTAGTAAACTAAACGTGAGATTGTAGTCCATCACAGGAGTGAGCTTGGAGTGGTGACTACTTTACAACACACACAGGTACCATGGAGAGTAAGAGTAGCCCCCCTCCAGAAGGAAGGACAGTGTCAGCACCAATTCAGAGATGATTTGAGGATCTGCAGCCAAGTGATACACAAATAAGATGCATTTTTGTTAATAGTTAGGATACTTGAATGTATTTTTAAGATTTAACTCCTGAGTTTAGTGTCACTTAAAGGAGAACTATGAGATGAGTGATTTCCACTCACCTCATAGTACTAGCCGACCTGTGACAATGAGACTGTCACAGGTCGGCTCAGTAGTTCGGGAGGTGAGCGAACACATACCGGAGTTCGCTCACCTCTCGATCCTGTCACGGCTCTCTGCCGTGACAGGGGAGGGGCTGGATTCCAATCTCCCCGCTCCGATCTGCCAGCGCTGACTGGTGGAACGGACGGGGGAGGGGGCGGGTACAGCTGGCTCTGCCTCTAGATAGGCAGAGCCAGCTGTCACTCACGCAGCTGGGTGGATCCCGTCATCTACGTCGGGATCCGCTCCGGCTGCGGCGTCTCAGTATACCGCGAGCTGTAGCTCGGGGTATACTGAGCTTAGGGTAACGGGAGGACGCTAGTTTGTGTCCTCCCGTTACCCTAAGGAGAACTATGGGGAAAAACACTGACCCCCATAGTTCTTCTTTAAACACAGCTACATACGTAGAGTCCTGTTAATTTAGTGCTGTGCTAGACCAATCCCAGGATCCAGGTAGCCAATGCTACTTAAAAATTTCAGTTGGTACCCAACTTTTGAAGATTTCCCTAGTCAATGGAGCTGTCTCCTAAAACATTCTTCTGGCTCCTGGATTGGACAGACTGGCCTGTGAATTCTATATTCATGTGTACATCCCTGATTTAGTGGCAACAGTTCATTTCATTGACAGTTTATTTTCAAGATGACGGTTCCAGCTGGTGGTATTTGTGTGATGTGGAACCTAAAGATAACTAAACCTAAAAGAGAACTATGAGGTAAGCGTTTTTCCCCCGCAGTTCTCTTCAGGGTCACGGGAGGACATATACTAACCTCCTCCCGTGACCCAAAGCTCAGTATATTGCGAGCTATTGCCCGCGATATACTGAGAGCACCGCAGCCAGGAAAAATCCCAACAATACTGTCGTGATCCACCCAGCTGCGTGAGTGGCAGCTGGCTCTGCCTATCTAACAGGGCCAGCTGTGTCCGTCCCCATTCGTTCGTCCACTCATCGCTGGAGGATCAGAGATGCCAAAGGGACATTCCATAGCTGGAGTGGAGGTGGTGTGAGGTTACTGTTGACTGTCATAGGGGCCTGGATCAGATGAGTAACACAGCTTTATTTGAGCCCCCCTAGATGAAAGAAGCACTTATCTCTTGCAATGCAGGGGAAGCCCCACTACAAGGGTATGTTTTTCATTAGCCACAGATCTTCTTTTAAAAACAAAAATGTGAGCAGGTAATTTTTTTTATTACTGTGGGGTTGATTTAAAGGAAAACTATGGGGTTAGGGTGTTTCCCCATAGTTCTCCTTAGGGTAACGGGAGGACACAAACTAGCGTCCTCCCGTCACCCTAAGCTCAGTATATCGTGAGCTACAGCTCGCGGTATACTGAGACGCCGCAGCTGAAGCGGATCCCGACAATTGTGCCGGGATCCGCCCAGGTGCGTGAGTGAGAGCTGGCTCTGCCTATCTAGAGGCAGAGCCAGCTGTACCCGCCCCCTCCCCGTCCGTTCCGCCAGTCAGCGCTGGCGGTTTGGAGCGTGGAGGGGGGAGTCCAGCTTGTTTTTTTTTTGCTTGTACATAATTGGGTGATGGAAGTCAACAGAGCTTCACCTCATTTACTAAGCTTGCAAAGTGAACAGTCTATTTGCTTTTAATACATGAACCCCTATGTCTTTTTCTGCAATAAAACAAACTTACCTGCCTGTTCACAATATTCTTTAGAATGTACACTCAGGTGTGCACGTACAGCTCAGTGTAACATGCTCGGCACACCTCTGCCAGAATGAATGAACTCCTGTGCACGTGCAGCTCAGTGTAACATGCTCGGCACACGTCTGACAGAATGAATGAACTCCTGTGCACGTGCAGCTCAGTGTAACATGCTCGGCACACGTCTGACAGAATGAATGAACTCCTGTGCACGTGCAGCTCAGTGTAACATGCTCGGCACACCTCTGACAGAATGAATGAACTCCTGTGCACCTGCAGCTCAGTGTAACATGCTCGGCACACGTCTGACAGAATGAATGAACTCCTGTGCACGTGTAGCTCAGTGTAACATGCTCGGCACACGTCTGACAAAATGAATGAACCCCTTTGCACCTGCAGCTCAGTGTAACATGCTCGGCACACGTCTGGCAGAATGAATGAACTCCTGTGCACGTGTAGCTCAGTGTAACATGCTCGGCACACGTCTGGCAGAATGAATGAACTCCTGTGCACGTGTAGCTCAGTGTAACATGCTCGGCACACGTCTGGCAGAATGAATGAACTCCTGTGCACGTGTAGCTCAGTGTAACATGCTCGGCACACGTCTGGCAGAATGAATGAACTCCTGTGCACGTGTAGCTCAGTGTAACATGCTCGGCACACGTCTGGCAGAATGAATGAACTCCTGTGCACGTGTAGCTCAGTGTAACATGCTCGGCACACGTCTGGCAGAATGAATGAACTCCTGTGCACGTGTAGCTCAGTGTAACATGCTCGGCACACGTCTGGCAGAATGAATGAACTCCTGTGCACGTGTAGCTCAGTGTAACATGCTCGGCACACGTCTGGCAGAATGAATGAACTCCTGTGCACGTGTAGCTCAGTGTAACATGCTCGGCACACGTCTGGCAGAATGAATGAACTCCTGTGCACGTGTAGCTCAGTGTAACATGCTCGGCACACGTCTGGCAGAATGAATGAACTCCTGTGCACGTGTAGCTCAGTGTAACATGCTCGGCACACGTCTGGCAGAATGAATGAACTCCTGTGCACGTGTAGCTCAGTGTAACATGCTCGGCACACGTCTGGCAGAATGAATGAACTCCTGTGCACGTGTAGCTCAGTGTAACATGCTCGGCACACGTCTGGCAGAATGAATGAACTCCTGTGCACGTGTAGCTCAGTGTAACATGCTCGGCACACGTCTGGCAGAATGAATGAACTCCTGTGCACGTGTAGCTCAGTGTAACATGCTCGGCACACGTCTGGCAGAATGAATGAACTCCTGTGCACGTGTAGCTCAGTGTAACATGCTCGGCACACGTCTGGCAGAATGAATGAACTCCTGTGCACGTGTAGCTCAGTGTAACATGCTCGGCACACGTCTGGCAGAATGAATGAACTCCTGTGCACGTGTAGCTCAGTGTAACATGCTCGGCACACGT